AAAAAAAATCCATAATTGTTGGGATATCTCAATTCAAAATTTCAATTTTTGCCATAAAAATCTCCAAATTTGTTACCTATAAAAATGAGATTCGTATTTATGAAATGAATTAAATTTGGCATAAAAATCTCCAAATTTGTTACCTTAAGAATCTCAAATTTTTTTGGGATATCTCACTTAAATTTATTTCCTATAGAAAATAAGTTGTTTTAATCAAATAAGTCAAATATTATTTCAATTAAAGAATTTAAACCACCAAAAAATAGAAAAGAAGTTAGGATTTAGGTCCTATAATAATGTAATTTAGTATTATTTAGGAAAAAAAATCAATATATTTACACACAAAATTCATAAATATAAATAATTTATAGAGGATTGGAGTTTATCAATATTTAATACAACATCCATTATTCTCGGAACAATATTTTGTTTGATTTGATAATTTGAATGGAAAAAAATTTTCGTAATTGTTGTGATATCTCAATTCAAAATTTCAATTTTTTGGCATAAGAATCTCCAAATTTGTTACCAATAAAAATGAGATTCGTATTTTTTAAATGAATTAAATTTTGGCATAAGAATCTCCAAATTTGTTACCTTAAGAATCTCCACATTTTTTGGGATATCTCCCTTAAATTTGATTTCTAAAGATTCACATGTGCTTTTTTCAAAATTTCTACTAATAGTAAGTCAACACTTTATTTTTAAAGTCAAAGTTACTATTTTTATATTTTTCCAACAACCTCTTTATATTACTATAGATTTGTGTACCGGACCATAGTCCATAGATAGACTGCTCTAATTTATTTTTTAAAATAACTTTTCTTTTTTCATTTGAAAATATTGTCCTCAAGATTTTTTTTCTGCTGTACATAAAGAAGAGAAAACAAAATAAAGAAACCTTCGAAAGCAACAATGGCGGCTCGGCGAGTGATGTCTCTTCTGGCTGCGAAGATTTCGCAAAACCCTCTCTCTAGAGGTAACGCCAAGATTTCGCAAAATCCTCTCTCTAGAGGTAACGCCACTGTTTTACTCAAACGTGTATTCATATCCACGCGCGTTGTATGTGTTATTTGTGTGGGAATCAAATTGATTGGTTTTTGAGTACTTATAACTGATATGTTCAAAAGGGATGAAGCTGCTAAGTTGGATTTTCTCGTTTTTGTCGTGTGAATGTGATTCTGTTTTTGGGATGTTTTGGAGTGGAAAGCGTGTCGAATTTGAGCTAGTATTTGCTAATTAGGGCTTTGAGACGGATAAATTACTTTTGTTTGTGTGGGAATCAATGCTTGTTTTCTGAGCATTTATCATAGATATATTCAAAAGAGTTGAAGCTGGTTTGATTTAGTCGTTTGTGTCGAGTAATTCTGTTTTTGGGGTGTTTGGAATCGAAATTGTTGAGTTTGAAATGCCCTATTTGCTAATTAGGGATTTGAGATGGATAACTTGTGAATGCTAAAGAGAGCTTTGATTTATGGAGTTGGCCTTATTTGTTTGGTATTAAATGGGCTTTGATTCAATATTAGTTGGGATTTGGCCTCTTTGCTCCCATTACAGAGCGGAAAGAATTATGGAAAGTGCTCCGCAGATCCAGATAGCAAGCCTTTAGGAGGACATGGAAATTTTTTATATGATACTTGTTCCAATAGTTTTGCAACTGCTGGAAATTCTGTAACTTGCACCGACTGACGAGCGGAAAATATAAAAGATTCCCTCTTTGAACACGGATTGGAAGTCCTTAAATGTGAAAACTTGCGTATCTTTCGTTGATTGAACAATATTGTTAAAACGGGTGCTTGCGTTTTTTCCTTGTATGTAAAAGCTTATCTTCCGTGCTTTGGTTGAAATATTGTTTAATTAACAGAGGCAAGAAAAATGTAGAAGGAAAAATGACTACAGCAAAGAAGGTTCTGAATTTATAAACTTGAATTATATGGCAAAGCTGCAGAAAAGAAAGCTTGTTTGGCTCCAAGAGTTTACTCCTTAGTTTCCCAAGAAGTTGTACGTGTCAAGTTTACTTCTTCACTTTATGTGTTCTTTGGAGTTAACCCCCAAGTGCAATTTCTTAGCATTTATGCTGATATTCATCTCTAATATGGGTTGTCCTCTTATATTATTCTGTATTCTCAATTTACTCATTCGAAGCATATGCTCATAATGTGGGTATGGTTACTTATATTGATCTGCAGCTTGTGTGACTAATAAATTCATAATCACACAAGTGTATGCAATCGGGAACATGTTATTTAAATTTCGTTAAGTTGGTTTTTTAATCATGCAGATTGATTACCAAAATTCATTGCTTTTTAAGCAACTGCGGTGAAAAATTGAACTGATTTGGACAGTGTTATCCTTAATTATGTATTCGGTTATCAAACAATTAAAACAAAAACAGAAGTGGCCTTAATTTATATGGAACTGAAGAAAATGCTTCTGGGATTTTTACTTGCTCATAAATTCTGTTCACATGTCTGCAGAACTCTCCCGAAACTTCTATCCTTCTCCAAGCTCATTCGCCTGTAGCTATCAACTGTGCACCAGAGACTTTAGCATCGGCTCCAAAGCCAACACTCAACCCATTGAAAATCAGCCCAAACCCGAAATTCCCAGCTTGAACACCAGTTTGTGTTCGGAAAACAACCAAACTACTCACGTAAAGCTCAACGTAAATTCCAACCTGAAGGTATCCGAAAGACACGATCTTGCCATGCTTTTCACATGCAAAGTCTGTGAGGCACGATCTCTCAAGACAGCTTGTCGTGATTCGTACGAGAAAGGAGTGGTTATTGCCAGGTGTGACGGCTGTGGCAATTTGCACCTTATTGCCGATCGATTGGGATGGTTTGGAGAGCCTGGCAGTGTAGAGGACTTTTTGGCTGCCCGTGGGGAAGAATTCAAGAAAGGTTCGCCTTCTACTATGAATATTACGCTCGAGGATCTTGCTGGCAAGAAAGAAACTTAATTGTTGGATTTTGTTAGTGTAGTATGAACTAAGTATAATTTTATATTTGATGAACTAGGGCCTTTGTGGTTTGCTATGCTTGAGCTTTGTTCAACTTTTGGTTTTTCTATGCGAAATGGATTTGAAACAACTTTGTTCTATAAATTACGCATGTGGTGGGGAAGAAATTGGAATCGAGAAGGGTTCTTGTTACACTATGAATCTGATACTCAATGAATCTTGCTGGCAAGAAAAAAACTTATTATTCGTATTTGGTTAGAAGAGTTCTGCGAAGTATAGTTTAGATTTTATGAACTCAGGCCTTTATGTTTGAGTTTTGTTCAACTTTTGGTATATTTATGCAAAGATATGCTTCTCTTTGTTTCTCTTTTGTGGATGGTTTCCTCAAATAGTAACTGACTAGATCTAGTAGAAGTATAGTTTAGATTTTATGAACTCAGGCCTTTATGTTTGAGTTTTGTTCAGCTTTTGGTATATTTATGCAAAGATATGCTTCTCTTTGTTTATCTTTTGTGGATGGTTTCCCCAAATAGTAACCGACTAGATTTAGTAACAGATTAATCGAAATCATTGACAGGCTTATTGTAACTCGGAAATGCTGAGCGGTGGGCATATTAACATGTGTCCACCATAGGTGGGGGAACATTTCCCTATTGTAACTATCTGTCCATTTGAGCACAAATTTAGTGTAGTTGATTAGTTATAAGATGGATGATAATCAATAGACNACTGCCAAAGTGTTGAGCATAATAATCCATTCAATAATCTCTTCAACGCTAGCCTTCCAGCTAAAAAAAAAAAAGAAAAGAAAAAAAAACATTCGAAAACAAATAACAATCTCATTCCTCAGATATTTCATCCAATAACTTCTTACCTTCATCACTCAGCTCCACATTCTCCATCTTAATCCTCCGGCGCATAATGTCACTCTTCTTCTCAGCAACCGCATAGATTCTAATCAACGACTCAAACACCGTATTCCCCAACTCATCCTCAGACTTCTTCAATACCTCCAGAAAACCCTCAGCAGCCTCGACATCCTTGTTTTCCTCAAAATGTTTCATAACCTTCTCAACAACTTCCGGCTTTGGGACCCACTTACGCCCATTCTCTATACCAGCAGAGATTGCGTTATCAATGCATCTCACAACAGCTCTAATAGGTCCATTCTTAAGATGGAAGTCGATAAAAAGCTCCCAAGTCTTAGCATTAGCTTTCGTTCCTCTCTTCTGAGACATATATTTGAGGTTATCTGCCTTCTTATACGAGCCTTCTTTAAGATAAGCTCCGATAAGGACGTTTGCAATACGGATATCGTAAGTCGAGCAACTAATCGACCATTCGTGAAAACATTTCTCTGCACCCGGCAAATCATTCAAGTTAACAAGCACCTGAATCATATTCAGATAACTCATGTTAGCAGTTTTCGGAAAAGCCACCATCAACGAACGCCAAACACGGTATACTTCGAGTAGATTTCCGGTTTTACCGTACAGCGTGATCAGAAACTGATAGGCCAAGAAATCTTTGCGGGCCCTTTTGGTTTCCAGTTCCTTAAGCGCTTTTTCTGCTTTTTCATATAATCCGGCATTAGCGTAAATGGATGCCAAATTACTGTAGGTCGTCCAATCTGCAGAGACTCGGCCATCTCTCTTCATTTCATCAATAACTCTTTCAACTCCCGATATATCATTCACAGCAGCAAGAGACTTCATCCATACATTGTAAGTGAAAGTGTCGGGCATGATATCGGCCGCTTTCATTTCTTGGATTAAGGGTGGAATCATTTGAGGAGCCCCGTTTTTCAAGTATAGGTTCATGAGGCTGTTATACGGCATGGAAGTTAGTTCCAAATTGAGTTCTTTCATCTTTTCGAACAAAGATTCTGCCTTTTCGGTCATTGAGTCTGTGCAGTAACAATTGAAAAGGGCGCCATACGTAAGATGACTTTTTGATGACTCCGGCAGGCTGATGAAGTAGGCTTCAGCAGCAGGAATACCTCGAGCTTTTGCTACTAGATCAAGATGTATTGCTTGATCGCTAACAGTTTTGTTCATTCCTCTTTTTTCCATGATCTCCGATAGCTGCAGAAAAAAAGTGAAATGTGATATAGATATTCAGGCAGAATCTATTAAGATAAAAAGAGTTGGCTAATGAAGTATGTAAAAGTCGGATGCTGGGATATTTTTATTATCCATCATTTAAAAATTGATAATAACATTGTCTTAAAAAAATTGCTTTAGACTTCAAAATGAAATTCACTAGGATCTTTCATTAGTTTATAGCTATCATCAAAGTTCTGCCCTTACTCAGTCTAATTATTTGTGGTCACCCACATATTACCCCCCTCCAACAATAGTCCTGCACAAAACATATGGAAAAGAAAAGACAACCTTATATGATAAATAAAGCCAAACAGGATAACTCATTAGGTTAAGTGAAGTTATAACTCGACAGCTGATATGCTAGTCCCTGCATCAGCATCTCCAAGATTCATTAGAAACACCATGTATTTTGTCTACATGAAAAGAGAAAAATAAAAATCAAAACAAGCCATACCAACCAAGATTTAATAGTTATGTTTTGGTCTAGTATTACACCTGCTCGGCACCTAATTCAATGATTGTACAGAACAGTGATTCACTACACTCATAATTTATGGTCTTTTGCCGGAAAGAAGCTGGGAGGAGTAACTCAAAATTTTCCAATGTGTAATGCAAACATCCAATGGGCTTGTAACTAAATTCAAGCCTGTTTCGACTAACTTGGTCTGGACAAAATGACTTTGCGGATTTAAATTTTGAAGAAAGCACAATTATGAGTTGTACCAATGGGTTTCAGCTTCTTTACAAGATAGAAGCTGAAAATCATGAACACATTTAAACTTAAACAAATAATTCACACACAGCCCATGAACAAGAATGACAACCAATCATAACAAAACATACTCATCTGTGACAGACAATCACTCAACCGCATATTTACTCAACGAACTTGCATACACACAGGGAGAGAGAGAGAGAGAGAGAGAGAGAGAGAGAGAGAGAGAGGAGCTAATAAATCAACATTCACAAATTTTGATACCTCATCCATGAGGTACTACAACAGAACACCAAAAATGAAATAACAAACCATACGATTCGTCAGCAAAAGGGTCTTGAAATGTGAATGAACCACAAAGCTTTAACGACTCGACATGTTTACCTTGAGTGCCGGGCCATAGAGTCTGCGGCTGCGGAGGACCTTGAGAGTGTGACCAACTTCCCACTTAAAAGCACTCTTACGGGACTTGAGAAACTCATTCAACTTGGTCCTGACATTCCGTTCTTCTCCGCCATCGCTGAGCAGCTTCGTGTAGAGCGCCTCTTCTAAATACTTCTTCGACGACCGCTTCAATATTTCCTTCTTCTTCGAAAATTGATGCATAAACGAAGACGCCATTTTTCCTTCACTGTTTTGAATCGATGCGACGGTTAACTAATGAGGGAAAATCACACGAATTTCAGTTGCATTTGGGAATGGGAGGAGATGAAACCCTAGATCAAGAACAGTGAGGGGGCTGGAGACTGGAGTGAGGTAGGGAAATGGCGAGGGGTATTCCGGTAATTGTGTGGTAAGAAAATGGGCCTCCCATAAGGCTAATTATAGTGGGCCAAAGAATCTATACTTATATTAAAGGGGTACTATTTACCAAATTAAGTAGTCAAAAAAATCAACAGCATTTATTGCATTACTATTTCTGTATTATACTATATAAAAGGATATTCTATTTACTATATTTACTATCCAGAAAAGTCAACTGCATTAAATGTCATTACTATTTTGGTATTATAATATTTTATTTATTTAATTGATTTATTTATTTGTTTTATTTTAAAAAGGTAATAATAAAAAGATTTTAATAATAAAGAAATCAAATACCAAATAAAAATATACACTTTGACTTATTTGATTATATTTGGTATTTGATTATACCAAATATATTTCTATTTAGTATTTACATTAAATACTTGTTAAAGTATTTATTTGTTTTATTTGTCAAAGTTAAGTATAGATGTGTTTATATTATCAAATCATAAAAAAATATTAAATCCATATTGTAAAAAAAAAAATCATATAATTTTATAACAATTCTACTACACTATTTAACAATATTCCTTTTTTATTATATAATAAAATAATAATTAAATATTATATGGTGAACAACAATAAGTAAAACTGTTACTTTCTCTTATATCAATGGATAAATTTATATGTTAAAATTAAATTTTTATTAGTATAAATGTTTTAGCCGAGATAATATATTAATTATTTTACAAGCTAGCCCTAATATGCTCATATTTAATGTTTTAAAAGATGTAGAAAAAAAACTTATAATAACTCTATTGTTTTTAGACTTAAACGTTGATTAAAAGAGGTAAAAATTTCTAATTTTTTAAACTTAAACGTTGATTAACACCATAGATTTAGAGTTTATATTTAGTAAAATTCCTAATTGTAATAAAAAATTAATTTTTGCTATATTTTAGAATATCTTTAAATTTATTATAAAAAAAAAAGAAAAAAAAACTACAATGAAAAAAACAAGTCAGCTATATATCGATTTGTTGTACTCCTCAAATCACATTTACAATTTGGCTACAAGGAAATGAAACTCATTGATTAAAATATTATTTTGTCAGTAGTCTTAATGTACAAGAGACTTTAAGACTCCACTTGAATATTATAAAACTTTTATTGAACATTGTACAATTTCTTGCGTATTATAAACTTTTATTGAATATTGCATCTTATAATATAATATTCTTCAAATAAATATATCTCGTGCTTCGCATATATTTCGTACATTTTTCTTTATTCATATATATAATTATAAGTCTAGATAAATAGCCTTAAAATTGTGCACCCCGTGCATCGCACGAGCTCTGTACTAGTATTATGAATAAGATAGAAAAATTTACACACATCCTACGTGATTAATAGATAATTGCAAACTTACAATTAAGGATAAAATATATAGATAATTGCAAACTTACAATTAAAAATAAAATATAGAGAAATTTACACACCTGGCTGCATATAAGAGTGATTTACGTATATACTATCTGTAGAAATTTTTATCAATTAATAATTTGGTAGATATTTTATATTCATATATACGAGATTTCTTTCTCTCTCCATATAATCTTATTTTTCTCTCCAAATAAAGTCATGCTTATTCTCTCTCCAAAATAAAGGTCATGGTGATTCTCTCTCCAAATAAAGGTCATGATTTTCTCTCTATATAAAGGTCAAACAAAGTTGTNGGAGTTGAGTATATATTTAGAAAAAAAAAGATATGTTATCGTCAATTGAGTTGTTTAATTCATGAATATATTTAGTATAATTATTATTATCCATCTGTGTTATACTAGTAAAATATATTAGTTTGTGTTACACTAATAAAATGTGGAAATATTTTAAGATTTGAATCCACATTAACTCCATAAGAACAACAAAAATATTATGACGAGTTGCTCTCGATAAATTATCAAAAGTAACTTGAAACGTATGTCCTAACTATTAATACATTTTAACCAAATATTTGTATCATATTTATTTTAGAAATCTCTTATCTTATGGAGTATCAAGATTTAATTATGAATGTAGCTTGAAAGGCTCTTATCTTCAGGTGGAACAATAAATATATCCTGAAGATTAAGCTCTGAAGGTTAATTGTAATCCTAAAATTGAGCCCTCTTGGTCGATGTTATACTCTTTTTTCTTTAGCTAAGTTTTTTTATTCCAAGGTTTTACTCAATAAGGTTTTTAAAACAACAAGTGTAATAAATGAATTTTCACATATCATGTACTTTTCTCGTCGACTACTTTTTTCTACCAGATTTTGAAGCGAGTTTTTTAAATAATGCGGTAATATTTAAGTGTGAGTGTTGTAAATAATTAATTTATGGACATTATCTTAATATAGGATTGATGGGTGTGGACCTAATACCATTAGGTCATTACTAATGCACATTGTATTCTCCTACATGTAGAGCTTATACGAATGACTAATAAGACAACTTTGTGGTTTATATTCTCTCTTGATCTCTTTAGTGTTTTCTCTCCTTTTCTCTATCTTGCAGTATTACAAAACTCTTTTTTGTGTTCTTTTTTTTTTCTTTAGTCGAAAGAATTGCCGAGTTGAGGAGCGGCAAAATTCCTTAGTTCAGAAAAGCTCGCATTAATGGATAAGGTACGATATTTGCTCGTCAGTACAGGAGAAGAAGGGGTTGGGTTTGATAAGTTGCACCACGTCGGGAACTATTTCGACTCTCTTACCCTTAACAACGATAATTTATTTTCATTTTTTCTCTAGGTCTGCGCGTTTATTGGGGTTAGAAGTCGAAATTGAAACTACAATTTGAGAGAAGGATGTTGTAGCTTCCCGTTCGATTTATAGAAATTCTTGAATTTTTCTATTTATCGAATACTGTTTTTAAGGTTATTTTTATTTTATTGGTCGCGATGTCGACTTAAATAAAAGGTTGGAGTACTCGATCGTTTTATTGAAAAACGCTTGTCGTTCGGCGATTTCGGTTTAATCGCGTGAACCAAATATAATCCGTTTGAATAATGGATTTTTCGGATATTTAGGCATTATTAGTATGGTTATTTTATTTTATTTTTCCAAGCATTATATATGTTCGGATTTTATGAGATTGAGCCAATAAACCGGTAGTAGAAACCGGCCGATTCGTAAACCCGTTGTTTACAAATTATTTGGGATTGTTATTATTATTATTATTATTATTATTATTATTATTATTTATTGAATGCCTAATTGTCTTTATATGTCTAAATGTGTGTTATTAATTAATAATTAATGTGTATATTTATATTAATAATATCCAATTTTATTTTAAATTTTCGATCCGAACCGAATTAATATAATTATCAGTTAAGTTGAACCTGAGAGACCGAGCCGAATGTTGAGCCCGAGAGAACCGGCTCGAGCTTCTTAAACCGAGCGAACCCGTTCTCCCCAGCCCAAAAATTGGCCCGGTTTTCCCCTTAAACCTAGTGTGTGTATCGTGGAGAAAGGAAAGAAAAGCCGCGATCCCTCTTCTCTCTCACGCAAAAAGCCGACACGCTCATCTCTCTCGTTGAAACCCTTCCCGTCACCATCTCCTTTCTCCTCTCGCCAAAACGCAGCCTTCCCCTTCTCAAAATCGCTCGATCTCTCCTTCCTTCTCTCGCAAATCCCATCGCAGCAACTACCGGCGAGCCTCAACCACCATCGCGCAGGCCCGCCTCCCCGACCTCTGGCGAGCCCTCCTTCCGTGAACGACGATCCCAGCATCTCCGGCGAGCCCTCCTCCGTCGTCTGCTGCTTCTCCGCGACACTCCGGCGGGTTTCTTCCGCCGTGAACCAGGGCCCCACGCCGCGAGCAGAACTCCCGTCCCGTCCAGCAACTCAGGTCGCCATCCCCCTCCGTCGTGGCTGTCCTCACGACCGCTGGCAGACGCGCCCTTCCACCACGAACATCCCTTCGCCGTCGCCGCCGCGAGCAGGTCACCACTCCCAGCGAGGATCCCCAACGACCCTCCTCCGTGAGCCCTCCTCCGCTCACCTGCTACTTCCGGCGAGGCCATCGTCGCTGCCCCTCCGACGCGGCCAGCCATCGCGTGTCTCTGTTCTCGAGCCACAGGATTTCTTCGGCAAGAGCAGCGACCTTCGTGAGCCCCGACGAGCTCTGGCGGTTGAAGAACTCCAATCTCCGGCAGCGGCGGACCTGAACCCGACCACTGCTGCAACCCGCCATCACCCGCAAACCGGCTGCCGCTCGTCACCTCAGGCCCGCGAGACGAGCTTTCGCCGTCGAGCCGTTTGATTCGAACCCTCCTTCATTTGTTTCTCGTTTATTCCCGAAGGAGGTATATGGCTGGACCTTCTTCAATTATTTTTGAGTTTAAATTGAAGGATTATGTAGGATTTGAAATTCATGGCGATGAGACGCTTGATTATTCGAATGCATGATGTTGGTTTAATATTAATGTGAATTGTCATGTATTATCATAGCAAGATACGTAATAATTCAATCGAATCATAAGATTTTATTTTCTATCGTTTTTAAGAAGACCGAGTTGGACCTCGGACAACGTGTTTTATAATCCACCAAGTGTTTAAGTCTTAAAGTAGTGATATCGAGGCTTGCTTAACGTGTCAATTACGTGATTTCGAGGCTATGTTGTTGTGTGATAGTTTTGAGTTGTTGAAGACATGAAAATTCAATTTGCGAGCCTCAGCTTGTGCTCTGTTTTTGTCGACCAAGAAGGTGTTTCTTGGGCAAGTGTCCTTCATGAGTTTTGTAGTTCATTGAGTTAAGTTTCCGTGAGTTTTGGAATTACGTGATTTAGAGTTGAAATGAATTTTATATGAATTTTCAAAGTTGGACGAGCATGCTGTTTTGAATAAACTCGGACAGAAATCTTGCCCTTAATTCACTGATGTTTTAGATGGCCTTAACGTACCTGAATGAAAATGTGTTCTTCATACCAAATGTATTATTTGTTGTTAGCTGCCTGTGCGAATTGGAATTATGCAATTTCGAGTTTTGGTTGATTTTATATGATTTTTCTAAGTTGGATTTATGCACAGAATTTTAAAACAATGGCTGTGTGAATGCATGAAATGT